CCTGAACTTGTCGTCGTGGAAGCCGCCTATCTCGGCCACCAGCGAGCGGAACCTGTAGGCCTCCCCGATGTGCGCGGTCACCAGGTCCGGGAACCTCCGCCCCAGCCGGGACTTCTCCACGGAGTACAGCTGTTGCGGCAGCATCTGCGAGAACCGCACCTGCGACAGCACCTTCGGTAGGTACTCCTCCACCTTGTCCGCCCGGCACTCCGCCAGTAACCAGTCCTGGAGCGCCTGGAAGAGCACGAACTCCTCGTCCACGACTAGCGACGAGTTCTGCATGAGTTCGATCACGTACGGCAAGTCCAGGTTCAACCACTCGGGCGTCTTCATCGCCTTGGTCATCCGCAGGGAGAGCACCTCGATACACTGCGTCTCCAGCTCGGTCAGGGAGTACACCTTGGCGTAGTGGAGCCAAAGTAGAGCCGCCCGTACGTTCCCCTTCATGACCTGTCCCGTCATGTACTTGTCGCACACCTCTCGCACGGGCTTCACGTCGTACTTGTCGGCCAGGAACAGCAGCGGCAGCGTGGTCTCGATGTCCAGGTTCACTCGGCCGCAGTAGAAAAAGCGCAGGAAGTCGCCGAAGACGGACTCGCACTCGCAGGACTCCTTGAGTTGGATTTCCTCCTTGGAGGAGTCCGTCCAGTGCTCTCCAGTCAGCATCGTGCGGAAGACGTCGCTCAGGCGGGCCAGCATGAACTTGTGCGCGTGGTACCTGTGGCCGGAGAAGTAGATTATGGTAAGGCCACACCATCTTAATTTTCTGAATGACATTCTCTGAAGACCCCCAAACTAGTGCGCGCGGGCGAATAAAAAAAAGTCCGGCCAAAAATAAAAATGCTACTAAACCACAGGAATACAAAGCTGGTATTGCGAATTTGCGGCAGTACATAGCGACGTACACGACAAGCAGGCACATGCTGGCTTTTTGTGGAATTTATGAATCGGCACTGTACGATGTACTGAGTTCTTGAGTCGTGGAGCTTCGGTGCCATCGGTGCCTTCCTCCAGGGTTACCGCCGGCTCCGTATTGTCGCTAACTATCATGGACTACCCAGGCCTAGAGCCAGACCAGACGTGATTGTTTTTTGAAAACAGGCGAAAATCATTGCGCGCGGGGATGTCATCCATGAAATTAAGTGGGTGTGGCTTAAACATAAACAAGGAAGGCAGGAATTGACTGAGCACGTGGAATGTTTAATGTAAGTGGTGTTTATATAAGAAAGAAATTTGTTTTATGTTGCCAAACCGTAATTCTTTTGTTTATAGAGCACATCCAAGACTGTAGAGTATACATCTGTGTTACAGATGTTAACACCATTAAGGAAATGCAATCAGATTTTCCTACTATATGAAAGTTGTAAATTCCAAGTAAGCCACTCTTTTCAAAGATATCTGGACTCTACAACATTGTACATTGTACATGTATTTGATTTGTGCCAACCTCAGTTCGCGAGCTGGAATGCTTCGATGGGTCCAGCAAATAACTCTAACCTCGGGGCTCGAAATTAAAGGTGGTCCAATGGCCACTGACCACTAAAATTTAGGCTGGAACAACTAAAAAGACACTTTGGGACATTTTTGGGACAATAGTCAAGATCTGAATATAAGCCCTTCTTTTGTATATCAGGCACACGTCCGGATCCCGGCTTTTCGGAAAAGCCCCCCCCCCAGGAATTTTCTGTCTACACTGCAATTATAGTGCGCCTGCATGGAAATGAACATAAGCAAAAAAAAAGTTGACTTCAAGTTGGAGTCACACAATACTAACCAAAAAAAAAACGGGTTGAGACAGTTCAGCCTCACTTCGGGACAATTGAAATTTATTTTTGGGACAGTGCTGGGACAATAGGAAGAAAAGTTGATTTCGAGGCCTGTAACCTGCTATAACCTTTTCGTATTTTAAGACACTAGAACCGTACTGAACAGCCGTATCGAAACAATAAAAGTTGACAGCTGGGCAGGACGGTATATAGTCCGAGTCACTTAGCTAACAAGTGTCACATCAATCAGCTCAGTAGTAAAGAACAGGAGATAAGGGTTAGCGCTGTTGAAAGTAACAACAAGCATGGCAAAAACACGCGTGCGTTTTATACGCTAGGTGATTGAAGACATAGTCTGCTTACAACTTAGGCCACAGCAAGTATATTTTATGGATGACATCCTCCGTAGACTCCAAATCTAATGCGATAGGGCGAAAAAAAAAACAAGACGGACCAAAAAAGACAAGATTCCTACATTTTCAAATTTCGACATAATAAACCTTGTTGAACAAGAAATGATACCTATATTGTACTAAGTTTACTGCCAATTATTACAAAATCCACCTGTCACTGAAACAACTTTGAAAAATAAGTTTTCATTATTGTACAAATCAGTTTTCACTATTGTACAAATAGTTTTGATTGAGTGGGAACACCCACCATCACATATAAAAGGTATGAAATACACTGCACCAATTTAGTAGTAGAAGACAAAACTCCTCTCTTCATAGTTATCTGCCATCCACCTTCCGGCATGGCAGCAGACATCTTTGCCCATTTCCAGCAGATTTCCACCACTGTCAGAGGCAACAAAATTCCTTTTTTTTCTCCAAATCTGGCGAAAATTAATGCGCGTGCCGATGCCATCCATAAAAATTACTTGCTGTGGCCTTAGCCTAACTGAGTTGCAGCCTCTTGTACAGACTTAGCGGGTAGCGTTTGTTTCTTCGGAGCGCGGGTAGATCGAGAGCGGCCGGTGGTTTCTTTACGAGGATAGAGCTGTTCATGTATATAAATAATTGGGTACTCTCCAAGCAGAGGTTGGCGGAGAAGATTGTGGCCTTTCTATCATATGCGCCGTTTTCGAATTCCTTCGCTACCTAACGCCCCTGTCACACATTCAGAACCTTCCCCCGACCACCAACCAACCAAGGTTGGCTGAAGTTCGGGAGCCAGTCTGGGGTACGCTTAACTTTTCACGTGAATCGAATTTGAGTTAAATTTGAGTCAAATTAAATTCGGCAGTCAGTCTTCGGGAGACCATAATAGGCTATGTGTGACATGCAGGTTAAAGGTTTCAGTAAATTTATATTCCCTATAGCCTTCGACAAACTAACTCTAACTACAACCTATATTTCCACTATTACTGAGAAGCGAGAGGAATTCGAATGTATAGAAGTTTATATATACACGTTTATGTGACCTGTGTGTATTTAGCCCAGTGGGGCAAAAATGTGCAATAAATTTCTTCATTCGTTCAGGAACGTAAAATCAGACTACAGCCATGTGCTTGCCAGAAATGTTCAGAAGTCTGAGTTTTTACCTGTCCTTCCCCACCCGTAGCACCACGTCGCTCAGGTCCTGACTGTTGTAGAAACACTCGAAGCTGGCCACGAACTCGCCATGGTCCCCCACCGACTCCCTCTCCCGTTCCGTCGACTCCGAGCCCATGATCGTCGGCTTTTTCTGGGAACAAAACATTCATTTTTTTTACTTCAAAACAGACAGTCCGCTAAGGCTACACCAATTTAATTTGTTGGTTCTCGGATTTTTTCAGAGAAAATATGAAGCGACAGGGCGAAAAAATAACAACAAAAATAGGTCTAGCTATACCCCCAAAGGCTAAGATAGGAGCCATGAAGTTAACACAAAGCTGGGTTAATATTTAAACAATGAACAATGAACTTTGAATTTCTAATCAAACCACAGCATTGATAGATGGAAAAACTGCAACAACTAGGAGGAAAAAGACTTTCCTTAAATGTTGGGGATAAAATATGAGCATTTATGAGTTGATTCAGAACCAGAATCTTTACATACACACATACTGATACATACACTCACATACAATCACTCCAACGTACAATACATATTACATACAAACATACTAGTGCCTACAACCACTCCAACTTGCAGTACATATTTTACACACACGCATACTAGTACATACATGTACAATCACTCTCCAAAAACATAACGTTCTGGAGAAGGTAAAAATAAAACACACCGAGAAAAACAGGCAGTCGTCGTAGCTAGGTTTCAGAGACCTGCGAGGACAGGGCCCGGGGAAGCTTGTCGCCATTTCCAGACGGTGTCCTCACACCTGTCTGTTCTGAGCGGGTATTAGGTACTCAGGTCACGCGTTTTCATTGGCTGCTTGCTTGGTCAACCTTTCATCGGGATTTCGCCTGTTGCAGACGATATCTTTTTTACTGAGGACAATCCGACATGGACTGTGATGTGGCGTACTGTTGAGTTACAACTTATTTTGTTACGCCACGCAACATTTGACAACTATAGACGGAATGCCATATGCTTCCACCGATACATCTGTATGACGTGCTCTGTCGCAGTCCATATAGGCGTTGATTGAAAAGTGGTGAAAGAAGTTTGCCTCCTTTGCAGGTGTTCCGGGTATGGTTGCGTTTTGTGCGTGTGCGTGTGCGTGTGTGTGGAGGGGGGGGTGTGCTGATTTGTACTCTTTTCTACTTTTCACTATTTTCTGCTGATAGCCCTTTTGGTTCCAGAGAAGAAATGCGTTGTATCTTTATCTGTATAACCGGTATAACCGCCCTTCGGCGTAACGCACCAGCTTCGGGTGCGTCACGCCACTGACAGTGTATTCAGCGAGCGTTTCAACCTTACAGGGAAAAACTGCATCAAAAACAATGAGAAAGCACCTTTATACTCAGTGAACCGCGCTGGAAGCACGAAACGCAGTGAGTGACAACAATGACGTTCTACGAAAGGAACTTGAAATTGTCTTTGAGCTGGTGCACCTTTGTTCTTTTGTCGTATATCACAAGTTCAAACAAAACGGTCGACATTCAAGTGAGGATTATCTTGTGCCAAGGAGGCTGTTATGTTTTAGCTTAAACATATTTTTAAACACCCGACCACAGGCAACTTATTCATAAATGTTTCAAGCCAACAAGCCCATTGTTAAAAAAACACGATGCAAGATACACGTAGTACTATATATGCACTGAAAACGACATCACCACAAACATTAGACTGTCTCCATCAATCACGGTGTGTGTACCGATGGTTGGAATAGATACGGTCATGTGTACAGGATCTTTCAAAATGTGTTCTTCAAGAAGATACTAGTGCTATATACAGGGGTTAAAGGCATCCAATGCAATTTCAGGCGGCAAAACAAAAATATTCTAGATGAGGAAATCTGTTTGATATTGGCATTTACTGCCGTTTCTTGGCACATTGTCGTTATCATTTCATACTTGAAGCGTTCGAAATAGCCCCCAAAACAAGCTACGTCCCTTTATTTTTTGGTACCACCAATAAATAACAAGAACAAGCCTACGATACGAAACAAATAACCGTTTTCCGTCAGCGACATCGTATTTTGTCTCACGGATAGCAGCATGCTATGGAATAGGGCTCATCAACTTTTGCTACATTTTAGAAAATGACCAAAAATTGCAAATCCTGTTTTACTGTCCTGAAATCACTTTGGGTGCCTTTAAAATCTTCTTGAAGACTTATTCTTTCTTTAGCCTCTACAAGGCTTCGGGAGGTGGCTGGAAAGAGTAGAAATTGATCAAATAGAGAGCAAACTGTACTCTCTAGCGGACCAACTCCTCTGGCATGTTATCTCTCTTTATTTCGCCAATTTCTACTTTGCGGCCGCCTACCGAAGCCTAGTAAAGGCTATTCTTTCCTGCGGCCGTGGGAAAAGAACATGTGACTCATGCTTGCGAGTTCGAACAGGAAATACTCTATCGGGTTAACATGTCAGCGTTCCCCAAAGAAGATTTTAAAGATATTGAAACCTCTTTGAAGACACGGAGGTCTTTCCTGTTCACATGTGGTATGTAAAATGCTAAAACACGTCTTTGAAAATTCCCATGACTTTATAACGCTTCGCTGGAGAGTTGTCTGGCACGCTTTTGGCATTGGCCCGTTAAGTCCCATGACTCTGGTGTTTATGGTTGTAGTTGTGAGGTATAGACTGAATTGCATACTTCGCATTTAACGGAATGTTGGGTTGGGGGGGGGGGCAGTGATCTCCAAGCAGATGTAGAGAGGAAGATAGTTATAACGAGCGACCCTCCCAAGTCCTCCCAATATCTGCTTGGGGCTGATATACCACTTTGGGTAGGGGTGCCGAACACATTGTACAACAAACTCACCTTCACCTGTGCATAAAACTACCAAAAACGCTGTGAAGAAACGTATCTTTTTATACCGTATGTCCCACCAAAATTACACCACACAACAGGACAGTTATAAATGAACTTTTCTGTATTTTGTATTTGCATTTTTGGTTATCTCCGTTATGTGTTATGTTTATGATTGTTTTGTAGTCTTCCTTTCTCGTTTGTGATTTTTCAATCAATTAATTACGTATTGATGTGCATGTAGGACCACGAGAGGAATGGCAAACAATGTAAACTTAAGCTAATTGTGGGTGCTGACTAGCAAAATACGTGCTTCCTCTACGAATTACGTACGATATATCGATATTTAATTTAATTTAATTCAATGTAATGTCCTGTAATGTTTTTTGTACCTGACACAATGATAAAGAATTTTGTTTTGAACACGGCACAGCGTATAAGGGTCCTTGGATACAGAACAAGCGTAAAATGTACACAATGGACATGTTTCTATTCAAAGTCACAACCGTTAGAAATACCTGAGGTCCCATAGGAGGGGGACATTGCAATGCTATTATGCTATTGTTTCAAATAAAAGTTACAACAAAAACGTAATCCCCGGCCTTTACAGCAATTATTTCACCCCATACCAGGTCAACCTCCCAAAGGACGAAGGAGAACATATGTTGGGGGTGAAACCGGTGACATTTTTTTGAGTGGATGTATTATCGTCCAGTAGTTATAAATACACACGGTTATATTCTGAAGCTTATAGAACGGTAGCAACAACTATTCAATAGCCTTGAATTGCAGTATTGACTTGAACGCGCAACCCAAATGACATTTGTACAATTATCAAGAAGCGAGAGGAAGCCGAAAGTACTAGATTATGTTAACTGGGTCTGTCTACATGGATATGTCATGTATAACAACTGACCCAGCTACCACAGCCATGTGAAGCAATAAACATACATCTACAACTGCCTCAAGAAGCGAGAAGTTAAACCTGTAAATAGTAGTTCACATTAGTATGTATAGTTTAAAAAAGATATTACTGTAATTTTTCCTGTTTATTCATGACCTGTACTTAGCTTGTAAGAGCATAAACGTATAACAAGGGTATTTCATTTATTTAATAAATGCACAGTTATAAAGGTTTTCATTCGGTAATTCGTTAATAAAATTTAAAAAAAAAATCACTTCTCTAGACCGTACCGAGGAGGTTTTAAACCTATCCGCACCATAATTTTCGTCCCTCCCCCATGCAATACGTGACTTATAGCGTCTGCGCGCGTCCCAAAATATTGGAAACGGATATGGGCGATGTTGTGATACGGGGATCGAACTGTACATGTACATGCCAGCGGATCGGAAGACGGACTGCATGTTGTAATCCCGCTAAAAGCAAAAGGATCTTTTACTCTCACCACGGGGATTGCTCATTTACATACATAAAAGTCGAGCCACGTCCTAAGAGACAAGACAAATTACCGTTACGTACAGATGATCAATTTGGTATCTACTGTGAATAGACTAAATGGTATGGTATGCTGTTACCCTCTCATAACGTATTCCATGCGAGTCTGACTGTCGATGTACGTACATGTAGGATTTCTGAAACAACCTGATTTTCTTTTTATCACCAGATTGTGAAGCGATACCGTAACCTGTATTGCGTATTGTGGTTTTAACCCACTGAGATATGCATTGACTCACACACCCAGGATATAATCATTACCATGGGATTGCATGAGATACGCACCGCGCGTCCACATATAGCACGGCACCAAACCAAGACCGCCTCATTTGTAATCCATCCTTCCACATGCAAGGGATATTTTTGACGTCCCCCCCCCGCTTTTCTGTGGCTTCAGTGTGTTGTTGTTGTCTCAAAATGCATCCGAGAGTCCGCTTTACACTTGTGTCGTACCGTTAACGCCATAGACATTTAGGGTATGACAAGTGCGGTACAATGGCTAATCAACCGGGACACGCAAGCACGCATGCATCGTGTCAACGGTGACGGCTTTACACTATTCCCCTAGGTACAACCATAATACAAGAGCGTGGCTGAGTTTTTAAATGCGACAGAAGAAAAATCCCCTCACCTCAGACTTGGCACAGGTATATTCAAATCTTGGCTGGAGGATGCCCTGGAATGAACCAGGGTCTTTTGTTGACAAACCCGAGACTCACGCCGCAAAGCACCCTGGGTTGTTGGGAGCTCCGGACCACTTGATACTGATCAGCTGGGTGGATGGTGACGTCACTCCGTGAGCCCGCCAACTTTTGAACAGTGAACGTTGTTGTATTTGTGTGGGCTGTACAGAACCACAAGCCGGATGTCCCGAATTGAGATCATCTTAATACTTCGCGCAGTGCAACAGCTGAAATCTATCTATTTAAAATTGCTATTCGCCTTTTTACAATTCCCAGGATGCATAGCGCCAGGTGGTCGATGTACGAAGTTATACAACTTGTTTTTCTGTGTTTTTGTGGTGTTGGAGCATTTTGTGTTAAACATTAGGTGGCTTATTTTTTAATTACTATGGGTTAAATATGACAACAAATATAATGTGAGATTCTTATGTTTTTTTTTTCTTAAAAACAGGGAACAGGTAGTTTATTACATTACTCTCTGCAGCCATGTTATACCGTCCGTCAATAGAAAGGGATATACAAGTATTCCTCGAAATAATTCAATAGACACTGTTTATATATCAAGGGAGAAGCCTTCATTATTTCAGATTCTGTCATCGAGGAAATTAAAAAAAATACAAAGCAGAAAGTAATTCCGCCCCCCTGCCGCGATGCCTTCTGAGAATGGGAAAGGTGAACATCACACTACGTGTATTCAGGACGGTTTTTAGACGATGCGTATCTAAATTCACTTTATGTTCACGGAAGCAAAATGTTACGGTCTGAGAAAAGTGGGCTCACTGGTATTCTTCCAATAGACCGATCCTTGCTAGCCATCACTATTATCAGTTCAACCAATTAGAGAATGGCAATTATCAGTTAGACCAATGAGAGAACATGTTTTGACGGAGTGGGCGGGGCCTTGGAATTGGTCAATTCTTGGACTTCTTGGACGAACACTGTAAACAATGTAGGTCATAGGTCGCCTGATTGCATCTAACTAGGTCATTCGCTGCATTCTTGAGAAAATGGCCGGTGTTGTCCTGTGGATGACTGATTCTGTCCAGGAGATTTTACAACTCTTTGGGCCGCATCTGCAGACGATTCTTGTTCTCTGTGTGACTTTCCTCTTGGTCTGTTTCCTCTTGAAGGACCGCCGCAGAAACCTGCCTCCCTACCCGGCAGGACGCGTGCCTGTTCTCGGGCACCTCCTCGCCTTGGGCGGGGCGCCTCACCTCAAGCTGACGGCGTGGAGGCGGCAGTACGGGGACGTCTTCACCGTCAGGATGGGGATGGAAGATGTGGTGGTTCTGAACGGCTACACTGCCGTCAAGGATGCGCTCGTGGACAGGTCCGAGCTGTTCGCCTCCAGGCCGGCAAACTACATGCTGGATTCTACAGTTGGCTTCGGACAAGGTACAAGGCTTCTTTTCCATTCCTTCTTCATTTGTATATTGCCAGATTGGAAACTTGGTTAACTTTCATTAGGTAATCAGCACAAAAGCATCTGTCAATTATTTTTCATGTTTTCGAGTCTCGAAAACATGAAAAATAATTGACAGACGGAGTGACAGACGTGCAAAAGCTGTGGAAGACGAAATACACTTTATCTCAAACTATTCGTTTCATAACAACGCTCGAGATGAGTTGTCTATTCAAACGCCCACAATTTATCCTCATTTCTCTACACTTTTAATACAGACAAAGAAACTATTCTTCCTTTAACTAGCCACATTTGGAAAAGGTGGGACATTACGTCTTCCATTGTTTACAAAAGAGAAGTCAAACCCTCCAGACATAGTTTCAGACAAATTTTTATCTTTTATTATGCAGATATTTTACTTATTGTTTCAACGTTATTTTGTACTCTGTTTCAATGTTCTTTTATCCTTGTTATTTGCAAGTAGCCTATGGGCATGAAGTTGGAAGGAATTTGCAATACACTTTATTAAAAATTTGCAATAAACTTTATAAACTTCGGACCGTGAGTACATAATTTGCAATAAACTTTATGATCATAATAGGTGCCTTTTTCCCTCCAGACATTGTTGCTGCACGTTGGGGGACCGAGTTTAAACAGAGAAGGAGGTTTGCTAGCACCGCCCTGAAGAACCTGGGCATGAAGGCTGGGACTGGCAGCATTGAGGAGAACATCAGGGAGGAAGCCAACTTCCTACGGAATAGGGTGAGAATTTATCTTTATTATAATTCATCTCACGGTGAAATGAAATATAATAAAGATAACAAGTAACATTTGCAAAACAAACGCAAGATGTTTACCCTGACATGTGTTTTACACTTACGAACTAGTAGATCTACTACTTTGTTAATTCTTACTCAAACACATTCATATACTAGTATATGGTGACCAGCCCAACTCTGTCCTGCCACTTGCTACATAATGTAATCCAACACTCCAGGGTGTCTGCTATCACACCAGTTACCATGGCAACAGCCATCTGGTCCAGGTCATTGACCTCATTTGTTTGGAGAAGTAGAAGAAAAAGAACAGTACATTTTACCTCTACGAAGGCTAACATAAAATGGACTATGCAAGATCATTAGCTTAAATCTCTGCTGGATAAACGTGCCATTTGGCTGATGAAGGAACTCATTTTAGATTGCAGGATATGAAGAAAAACCTGTTGACATCGCTCATGACGTGACCGTGGCGGTTGCAAACGTCATCTGCTCCATGGCGCTTGGGAAACGTTACGACTACGAGGACGAGACGTTCCGCGAGCTCTCGGAGGCGATCGTCACTGTCATGGCTGAAGTTGGAGCTGGACAGATCATCAGCGTCTTCCCTTTGTTACGGTTTGTTCCTGGAGGTACGTACATTTCATGACTTTCACACTTCCCATAATGCCTAGTAAGGATCACGGATATGACGTAGCACCACCCCTCCCCCTTCCTCGATGTAATATTTCCAACAAGTTCTATCGACACACTGGTCAACTATATTGTTTTGAATTATTTATCTAGTATAAAGCTCATGCCATAATTGCATTTTTGTTGGAATTAGAGAAAATGACCTTCTATCGTTGTTCCTTCTACCGAAGACTTTCCTACTCTGGTTTGTCGCATTACGTATATCCGCAGATTTAATTTTAATGCTCAAGTCTTACACTGTGTCAGAAAACAATGTACAATGTTCTTCTATTATATAATAATCTATTATTATTGACATGCTCAGTCAACCGAGCCAGCTTAAGTGTATCCGGACAACTCGCCAAGATCCAAAAGGTGTTGAAGGAAGAAATGGTTCGCCATCGTGAGAACTTGGATCGCGAGAACCCGCGAGACTTCCTCGACGCCTGTCTGCTGGAGCTGGAACTGCAGGAGAAGGTGGAGGGTCTGACGGAGGAGAACGTCATGTACATGGCCCAGAACCTGTTCTTTGCGGGAACAGACACAACCACTAACACCCTGCTGTGGAGTCTGCTCTATATGACTTTGAACCCCGATGTCCAAAATAAGGTATATATTAATCTCCAAGTGGATCATGTGGTGGCTACAAGACAGTATCAAATTGGCAAAACAGTATCAAATTGGCAAGACAGTATCAAATTGACAGAGCAGTAGCTTTGCCTGGCTGCAAAAAAAACGTGCGTACCAAAAAGGAAGCCCAGTGAAAACGGCTAGAAAGATGTCATAAGAAAAATAAACTAAAGCCAAATTGGACAGTTCTTGTCAGCATGATGTTAGTCTATGTAAAGAATCTTTGTCAGACTATGCGTGGCCTGGCAAAGATCGAAATCATGGCTTAAACCAGCATGTTCCCATCTATTGTATTTCCTTCTGACTATCAAACATTATTCTCTATGATTTCTATCAAACATTATTCTCTATGATTTCTATGACACCTTACAGTGTTACTTCAATACAATGTACCTTTAACAGGTGCAGCAGGAGCTAGATGCTGTTGTTGGTGAGGGTCTGCCCACCCTGTCGCACCGTTCACAGCTGCCCTACGTGAACGCCTGTCTGCTGGAGGTCATGAGGATCCGGACCATGGGTCCTCTGGCGGTTCCACACGCCACTACAGAGACGGTCAAAGTGCGGGAATATGACATCCCTAAGGGAACCAAGGTATTGTTACCGATCATATATGTCATATGAACACGACGCCCAGAAATAATGAGTACAATGTTCCAGCCAGAAAAAGACGTAAACGTTTGTCACGAAAGCTAAAGACCATACACGTAATAGTATGTCTTTATAACTAACATTAGTATCAGTCACGGTTTGAAAGCCAACGCATTCAGTGATGTACAATGTCATGTACTTAGTACATGGCTGTCATGCTGATTGTATCATAAAGTTACAAAAGTCTTTTCTGATGAAGTGTGTGCATGTGTGTGTGTGTGTGTGTGTCTGTGTGTCTGTGTGTGTCTGTGTGTGCGTGCACATTGACATATTTTTTTTAATTTCCTCTTATCCAGGTAATACCGAACCTGTACTCCCTCCACATGGACCCCGCCTACTGGCCTGATCCGGACCGGTTTGACCCCGGAAGGTTTCTGGATGCGGAAGGGAATGTCATCCACAAGCCCGAGTCCTTCATGCCTTTTTCAGGAGGTAATTATCGGTCTTAAGATAGAGATATCGTTATTAGAACCACAGTAATGATGAGACAAATTCTACTGTGTACAAGGCCCATCGTGTAACTCCCCTTGGCTAACTCTCCATGCTCTTAGGACACACCTTCAATTTTACAGCTCTGTCAGACGACGCCAAAGTTTACCTTTCGCTCCGTGGTAGTCCTTTATATTCATCCGTTGCTAATACAAATACTACTAGTAGTATCTTGTCGTTTAGTTTACTCAACAAATCATTACCGCAAAAAATCGCCCCTGAAAGTCAATTTTCCCTTGTATTGTGTCCTATTATATACATGTATTTGCTTTCGTCGTTGGGTGAGGAATTGGTCATGTACTTCCAGCATCTTTGCTCTTTATTACGATGTGTTAAATCTCTATTAATCTTTTGCACTTTGTTTGCATTGGACTTTTTGTATTAATTATTTTTGTTATGTGTGTTATATGTAAGTGTTGCTACTTGAGTCCACTACCACTTTATGTTGTGCTACTTTCTGCAATGTGTGACTAAAAAAAATTCTACTGGACAGTTGGCTGGTCTTACTTCTTGGCATTCTTTACTTCCAGGCCGACGTGTGTGCCTTGGGGAGCAGCTGGCCAGGATGGAGCTGTTCCTGTTCTTCTCCACCCTGCTGCAGTCCTTCACCTTCAGGACGCCAGAGGGCGCTCCTGCTCCAACCACCGATGGTGCCTTTGGTCTGACGCTGACGCCGCATCCGTTCAAGCTCTGTGCGGCACCACATTAGTTCAATTTGTGGGCAAATAGTCACTTCATGAATGAATTAACAAATTTATTGCTCATCATGAAAAGCTTCATGTCTGTAGAAATAAAAATAGCACAATACAATGTGCCTGAGGTCCAATGCATGACAAACGTGAACACGATTAGACTCCTAGTGGCTTTCCATTGCGCTGCAGCGGAAATTCCGGCGCTGATAATTCGTGTTCTTGACACTCTGTGGTAAATAAATATGACTTGTGCAGTCTGCAGTCTGTTTTGGAAGGGCAGCGGCGTTTTTGTTAAAATCATTGAAAGAGTATAAAAGATGGGGCGCGCGGATGGTTGTGATTTCATCCTAATTGATGGTAGACGTAATAAAAATGCAATTATGCTGATCGGTATCGACTTTGCACAATTGATGACTAAATTCTTTAAATCTGCTGCGTTCTATAATAGGGCTATTCAAACATGTGATATATAGTATTAAGTAGAGTGGATTCATTCCTCATGTTAACCGACATCTTTCACACCGCAGTCGTCCTTTAGTAAGTCATCTGGAGCCGCATAGTTCTCGTTTATAACATTTATTCAGCCTGTTACAAACATATGATATATGTAAGTGAGAAAAAAACTATATGAATTATGTAAATATCGACCTAATTTGCATAATCACTAGGAAAATATTATGATTTCATTGTGGCGAGTGGGCAAATGGCAAGTATTATATATGCGTGGCATTTGAAAGTAATGTGAATCAGGATCTCATATGCATAATTATTGATAAGAAAATGCTAGAATAAAAGTTGTTGTTAAAACAAGATTGTCATTGGACAAGGGCTAGCTGGGTGGAGAAGATGATCAAGTAATTTGATACAAATGAGGACTTATTTACATAATGATTCACAGAAATATTTACAATGTGTCAGTCGTAAAGGCGCCGTTGAACTCTAGTTTTTAATCATTACATTGTTCGACTGAAATGTAACCAATACTGCCTAAATAGCAACCACCAGCTATCATTTGGGACTTAGAAGTGCAAGTATCTATATATAACTGATGGATGTTTGTCCAGCAAATACTGGTACCTGGGCGATTCCCTACTCTCACAACAATGTGTGTTTGTCGAGTTCTTTAACGTACTGGAAGTGTGACATAAACGAAAAAAAGTTTATGAGGGACCTGGCAATGTCGCTATGAGCCTTTTCATGGTGTACGTGGTTCAAAGCCTGCTTGTAACTTCGCAAATTCCAAGTTACCGTTTAAAACAGTTTGGGCATTTGTTGTGTTTTCACCATCGATCACTTTCTGCATCTGTACAGCCTGTTCATAGTATCCAATGGCTTGTCTGTGATTACCCAAACTTTGCCAGGCAAACCCCATATTGTTTAGTGTCTCGACGATTATAGGGTGTGAAGCGCCAGGACCAAAAACGCTTTCGGCGATCTCCAACGCCCGTTCAAGGTAGCCGAGTGCTTTACGGTGATCCCCTAGTTCGTTGAATCCCGCCCCCAAGTTCCCGAGACATTGTGCAATGTCTGGATGCTCTTTGTTAGGGCCATGTACAGTCCTGTACATCTCAAGTGCCTTCTGGTAGAAACCTATCGCTTTGCTCATCATCTGCATAATTTCGCTTTGTTGCAACACACCAGAAACACTCATAGCAGAATAGACTGTTCCAAGGTTATTAAGAGCGACGGCAATGCGAGGATGTGCTGCACCTTCACCATGAATACGTCTTAGTATTTGCAGGGAATCTTCATAACAGCTGATTGCCTTTTCATGTTCCTCAAGTTTCCACCAAATTGACCCGAGGTTGTTTAGGGCATTTGCAGTTTCATCATGCGCGTCATAACCGAGTTTTTTTGTCATGTCCAATGCCTGCTGCGAGTAGCTGATGGCTTTGTTATTGTCCAGGTAAATCCACGATGCTGCAAGTGAACCAAGCGCTCCTGCGATGAAAGGATGTACTGCAGTCTCGCCATAGACAGCCCAATACATCTGCAGCCCCAGTTCACGATACCTGATAGCCTTCCTGGGATCCCCCAAGTCATGCCAGACTCCTCCCAGACACGTCAGAGAGACTGCGATATCCCCATGTGCCGTGCTTTGCCCGTAAATGTTCTTTCTCATCTGCAGTGCTTGTTCATAAAATCTAACGGCTTTCTTAAACTCGCCCTGATCATGCCAAGCTAAACCAACGTTATGTAGTGAGGTGGCAATTTCAACATGTGCCGTACTCCTACCATGGACTGTCCTATGCATTTCTAATGTCCGTTGAAAATAGTCTAGGGTCTTTTTGTGGTCTCCAAGCATTTTAAAAGCTAAACCTAGACCATTGAATGCCTCTGCAGTGTCGCGGTGTGCTGTATGTTGGCCATACATGTTTTTGCACAAGTGCAATGACTTCTCGAAGTAGCTGATGGCTTTTGAATAATCAGCAAGTTCATACCAGGCTTCTCCTAGCCTGAGTAGTAACCAGACGACGAGACGATGCTCTGTACGGGAAGGGTAAAATATCCGAAACATTTTCAGAGCCTTCTCGTAGCAATCAATAGCTTTCCTGTAATTTCCTAAACTGGCCCTGGTTCGACCAAGCTCGAACAACAATGCTGCCTGTTCCGGACCAGCCACCGTGTTGCGTAGGGCCTCTTGGTAGCATCTGACGGCCTCCTTGTTATTATTACACAAACGGTACAGTTGCCCCTTTACCACAGGAGAGTTCTTAAACAACTTGATGTGCCCGAAGAGATATTTGCTCCCAAGGGGGGCTATCTCACTTGACATAAGTTCCTTTAGAGGATTTGCTGTGAAGTAATACCTGAACAACTGCTTCACGTCAGAGATGTAAAACACCTTTTGTACGTCACTCGTTTGGCAAATCCCCTTGTCTTGTGATGTTGACATTGCCGACAAGGCTGACAGGTTCTCCTTCTGCCCGCCATTTGCGGTGTAGGTCCTCAGTCTGAGTTCTGCTGAGATGCTGACCAGCACCTTCATGTGATGTGCATTTTCTGCACTGGTAACTCCTTCGACTTCCATATCTTCTATCGTTTTCCAAATTGTAGTCGGTATGATATCCGAGCAGAGTGCCAAACAGTCTACTGCAACTGAGGGGAACCTGTAAATTTCCTTTTTAACATCTAACAGCGCTCCCATCTGTGACCGTATGTCCGTAGACCTCCAGCCATTTTCGCCCATCATCTCCTTGGCTACTCTACAAGCCAATATCGCACCATGAGCCTTTAGTGTCACGGCCACAATGGCGTCAAAGTCATCAACTAAGGCCTGCTCCCCTGCTAGCAAGCAAACATTCGTCAAAACCCCAGCGAGGTGATATCCTTTCTTCAGGTACACGGAGACATCCTTTTCTAAGAGTCCAGCCATGTTCCTTGGGGTGCGGATGAGTTCGCTGCGCGGTTCAGTCGACGTTCCTTGTCTGCCCAGAGGAGTTTTGCTTGCCTTTGGCATGCAGCCGTCGAAGGCAAACCCGCGGGGTGTAACAGAGTCATAGAACCAGTTGTCCTGTGGGTCGTCTGAGTAGAAGTCATTCAGACTTTTTATCCCCATGGCTGGGAGGATTGTTTCTCCCAAGTTAACCACCTTGAGGTGCAGGTAGTGAGTCAGTCGACGGAAATACGCCACATTTGCTTCACTTTCCTCCTCTACCAAGATGGCAAACTCCAGGTCTGAGTATGGAGTTACCAGTCTTGTAGCCTGTGAACCCAAACCTATCAGGGCATACTTACAGGGAGGGGGACCCATCACTGAGATACACTCATCTACAAGCTGCCCAATGAAGTCCTTTCTTTCTTTTGCAATTTTCTCAAACATCTGTGTGACAGCGTCAGCCCGCTTGGCTTCTATCTCTCTTGCCAGCTGGCTTTCCTCATCATAGATGTAAGGGTTCAACTCCTTGTCGATAGTTTCCATCTCCTGTTTGATTCGGCCTCGCATGTTCTCAATGTCATCCTTATGTTTGCGACTTTTGTCAACACTCACTCGTTCAAGACTATCTACCTTTAAGGCGTGCATAAGAAGCAAGATTTCTGTTTCTTGAAGTGACTTTTCAAGATTGGCCCCATTCCCTGACCTTGCCACTGCTGCATGGTAGAGTGCTGCCGCCTTGACAAAGTCTCCCCCGTCTCCTGTTTGACAGCCTCTCCTGCAGTAGACATCGCCCAACTTGTGTAGGGGCGAAACTTCTTTCTCATACTGTTGAACAGTAGGATCTGTAGGGTAACAACAGTATCTATACGTGTTAACTTACAAATACATATATGTAAGATGCACATGTTTGACATACATGTACTAGTAATGTCAGGGTAGACATTCGCCTGTTTACATGAGACTCAAGAACAAAAAGTTCTGACAGTTCTTTGAAGCAAATGTCTCTAAATTTACCGATCGAGATCTCTACCGACATACAGTATCGTCAATTCTGCCTGATTGCAATCTCTAATTAGATATTTTTATTTGATTATCGCATTGATGTTTAGCATGGAAATCAGATAGATGATTTTAATGCTCACAGAACTGTGTTTATATTTTATTAGAGCAAGTCTGTTCTAATCTTAAACATGGTACCGGTAATCTTTAGAACCTTGATGATGTGTAGACTAATTTCACTGCTAAGATAAAACAAACGGCGGTTCCGCGTTAAGCACTAGTAATTTTTCTACAGGGGAACACTGTATTTGGTAATTGAACAGGTTGGGTTCGATTGACGATTAAAATATGTTATTTCCTACCTCTGACATGTACAAGCCTGAGTGCTGCTGCAAAGTGCTTCTCTGCTGAGTCCAGGTCTCCCCTCTGTACAGCCTCCTCACCTTTCTGCAGGTGTTGGTCGTACTGCCTGGAGAGGATTTACAAGCAATTTTGACGTAGGTCCTTGTGAATAAGTGTTTATAGATTTATTTTTATAGGTAATTGAGCTAACGTTGTTCGTGTAGGAGAAAATAAATGATTCATTCTTCAGTTCAAATGCTATAGTCTTAATTGGTTTTATTTAACTCAAGAGAAAGGAAAAGACAGCACGAATCGCTTAGCCGTACAACAGATTGATTGACGTCACTCACCTTGAATTCTCTGCAGCAGTGAGGTCCTGACTTTGAAGTGTACTCGATGATTTGACGTTTGCAGCGTGAGGACCAGTTGACAACACACTGCTTGTCTTCTTCTTGTTCTTTAGGATCATCTACAAATAAGAATCTCATTTGACCCATGTTAAGAAAAGAACAAAAATTCTTGATTTAAACGCACTTGATAGTAAACTGTACTACATTGTTTGAGTAACGAAGAATCCCCTTCCGTTGTCACTGAAACTGTTAAAGTTAGTTAAGAGCCTTCCCACATCAAGTGGCGCATAGGGCGGCGCCCATCTACTTTTTCAATAGCCCTGGGTCACACAGCACAATATCCACCGTGGCTAGTCTACTGGTAGTGATGTGAGTGTTTAACTCCCATACCTTTCCCAATTGCTGAGTGCTTAGCAGAGAAAGCATTACCATTTTTAAAGTCTTTGGTATGACTCGGCTGGGGATCGAACTCACGACCTACCGAATGCAAGGCAGGCGAGTACTTGGATATTGCATCGGTAAACGCAGCCTGTGCACCCGCAAAATTAAGAATGTGTGCAACATGATACCGCCTCACCGTAAGTGAAGACTATAAGGCACTCAGTAAACACAAGGCGGTTGAATTACCTTGGCAAACACGACATCTTTTATGTCAAAGGGTTGCTGCAAACCTGTGTCCCGTTGGTACACATGTACAGTGGGTAATATGAAAAAGGAAGTGGGCAAACTTATACTACTGTAGTATACTATACTGGATGGCCACCCTCTGAGGGGGTGGGCGTTTAATACTGGGTTTTGCAGAATCGTTATTAATGCGCGCTTTTTGCCGGCTATCGTACAACTCACCAACGGACCAAATAGCAGGACAAACCCGCCTACCAAACCCAGTATTAAAACGTCCACGTAGGTCTGCACCGTGAGGAGGCTAGGGGACTTTAAAGTCATAACATAGGAGATATGCTTGGTTGTATTTAAGTGTGTAGATCAACTTTAGGCTTGAGTTTTATTCACATCTGTGAAGAACGTTAATAAGGATACCCAAACACAGAAAATGTGTGTAACGGCGTGTATTAAGAAGGTGAAGACTTACCCGTCTCCTTACTTCTTGTATGTTCTTCCTAACTTTTGCTGCGTACAGTAAGCGATGTGTGAGGACGGTTTTCCCATGTGGATCGTCACATCGCTCCAGGGCTGTGCTGTACAGGGCTGTAGCCTTGGTCAAGTGCCTGGGCTCCTTTAAGTCTCTTCCTCTCTTAAGGTTCACGTCTCCGAGACTTTTTATAGACTCTACTTCGACCAGATTCTTCTCCTCCGCTATTCCGTCTACAAGAACCTTCGTGTAGCCACTTAAGATTGAGTCCATATGGCCACCGTTAGCCCTTTTCGTATCCAAATCTTGAAAGATTTCTGAAGTCCTTAAAACAGAGGTAACGCTTGTTTCGGCGTCCGAGGCAGCTATGGGAATTTGTTTCCTGAGTCTCTCGGCGAGTTTGATCCTATGTTGGAGTGACTCACCTTCCCCCGGGTCCTCACACCGGAGCAGCGCGGCCCTGTACAGGTTCAGGCCTCGCGCCAAGTTCCGCGGAGCTTCGGTCTTGTGGAGTCTTCCTTTCTCCACGTTCAAGTCTCCCAGGCTCTTCAGTACTTCCACTTCCTGCAGTCTGTCCATGTCAGACATGGCGGCCAGAAGGGCGCGGCCGTACCCCGTCTCGGCCAGGACGTACCTGTTAGCCGTCACAAACCTCCGGCATTGCACGTCTACAGGGCGAAGGGTCCCCGCAACACGCAGTATGTTCGACATTGTGATCAGTCTGGTAATGATATCCCCATAACAGATCACTAACAGGGTCTAGAAACGACTTTGAGTCGCCACGTAAATGCGGAAGTGTGGGCAGGGGGAATACCAGGTGCGGTTGTGACGTCATCTAGTAGTCAGGGATGTCTTCACTGTTGAACTTTGAACTCCCACCGTTACAGAGCTGCCTGTACTCGTCGCTATACATTATACATGCTATAGGACGGCGTCTTGAAATTGCAGTTAGTCTTTTACAGTGTTGGTACGTTTTTGTGGTGTATAAAGTTAAATATTCTGAGGTGTACTGTCTGTCGGTTGTTTGTACACTTTGCAAGTGTAAAGGAACGGTGAAAACAACCGGTACCGTTACATTTTTATTTCAGTATGTTTTCAATCAATCAATGGTTTATTGGCGACTCAAATCAACCATACAGTGGCAGCCCTTAAGCTGAATTACAGTATGGCATTACAACAAGAGAATTTTTACACGTAGTTATACCATTAATACGCAATCAATACAAGTTAAAAAGCCTTACATTGGGCCTGCACATATACACATATTAAAACCATTTAGTTAATTTGTTAAAACATATAAATACAACTATCTAGCAGGTAATCATGGTAGATGGTTAACACCCGTGCGTGTCATGTCTCATTAAGTAGATCAACCATGAAAGGCAGTGTGGTCTTGCGATACCTCTCAGTTCTACATTTGAATTGTGTTACATTATGTTTTGATCTAAGGTTCCTGCCATGCAGACTTACACGGTTGGGGGGTAGCCATGTCGAAAAAGTTGTAGAATTCAGTAGTGAAGTAGCAAACTTATAACATAGCTCATGTCGTATCTTGCTAAGTGATACGAGGGACAGTTGGTTCAATGCTGTACTGTAGCTGACAAAGTTTTGAACAAGAATTATGCGACAAGTTCTCTTTTGTACACTTTCTATCATCCTAGATTGGGCACGAGTGATACCAGGGTGCCAGACAGGGCATGCATATTCTAATATTGGCCGTATGAAGCAACAGAAGCCTAGTGTTAGATCTGTACTGTCCAAACCATGTCTCGTAAGCACTTTTAACATGATAATACGTACCCATGGTACCAAGCACTAACGTGAACTGTACCCAATATACATGTAAACATTCGTATAATATGTAAACTGTAGTCAAAACAGAACACTTACATGTTGGAAACGGTATGGTGCATCAGTATCGCATATGTTAATTTCCGTTAAAGAAAAGCGTTGACTTATAATCAATTGCAGGAAGAAAACTAGCATAAAAAATCTGATACGTAAGCATACCTAATAAGTTAAAACTTGATCAAGGACTTACAAATAATTCTCATTGATTATGGAAATAAGATCCTTGTTTGCATCAATTATATCTGTTGATCATATTCTCAACCTAATAAGATGATATCTCAAAAATTAGGTGCTTAATAGGTGCTTACTTACATAATTTATATCTGCCGATGTGCCTTTTGCTCTCAATCACATATGTCCCGAGTTTCAATAGTCCTATCCTGGAACGCAGCAGATTTATAGCATGGTGAAAGTAATTATATGTGATATTTGTGTACAATATCAATAACTTTATGTAGTGGTTAAGCAAACCTGGTGTTAAAACGACGCAATTCAGACATTGTTCCCAATTTGAAAGATGAAAGAATTAAACACCGCTAAAAATTTCACACAATCTTGTGGACAATTTTCTTCGTGGAATAAGATTTTTCTTAGTTGTTCCCCCTTTGCAATATGATTTAAAAGCAGTTTTTTTAATGATTAATATATTACATAAAGGATTATATTTGATATTAGCAGTGTTATTTCAACCAAAAGATAAATAGCATTTCATATGTAAAAATTACTTTTTTCGTGTTTTGCGACAAAAACAAGCAGGCATTTCGATTTGTATAATCCGTCTAGACGTCTACGTATTTTGTAAATGTAAAATTTCTTTTGGCCTCGAGCTACTATGAAATAACATGTTTATATTCATGACGCTTGTATCGGATAAAAAAGGCGACGTACACATTTCTAAGCGCTTAGATTTCGTCAGTGTAACACCGTGCTTCTTTTCTGCTCAGGGACCTGACAAGCGGCGTCATGTTTGGATGGCAGCAACAGTCCCTGGCCGGGGACACAGGAGGTACGTAGGGTGTTTCAGTATAAACGTGGAAAATTTGTCGCCTATTTCTAGTTCAGATAGAAGATTCGCATAATCATCAACTTTAAACGAGATGTTTTCATTTGCGCCTTTGATTGGAAAACCTTCCATTGTCTTAACTTAAACTTAGTAGAATGATATAAAATTCAATTCAAATTAAATTTGATTTGATTTGATTTAAAAACTCACTTATTTCTGACAAGCAAGCTCCTGAAGCTATTTCCAGCCGAATTCATGAATGTGTTCATATTCCGTGACCATATCTCTTATCGCGTAAATAGATAAAAGCAACAACAACAACATAAGACAATAAAAACTTAGACTATGATAATTATCTCCATTTAAAGATTTTTCATGATTCTCTGGAAGGAAGTATCAATGCTTTTACGTTACAACAGAGGCGTCACTCCCCCGATTGTTTTCTAGATGACGCTTTTCAACTCACCAAGTATTCTTATGGTGCGTTTTAAGAATCGAATGATTTGATGCCAATCATGAGATGTTAAACATTTCACATCATACTAGTGGCAGTGGCGTAAGGATGTAAGCACATATCTTGTATTTTCCACAGGCACCCCACACATGCATCAGTCTAAGACTAATTGGAGGTCAGTTGCGGACGCCATCGCGAATACATCCAACCCTATGTACGCCTCTTTTCTAGGTAAAACGTTTCCTTCCTCATTTTTTAGGGAGGGGGTGGTCTAGTGTTAAGCAATTTCGGTACCAGACCAAGGTCAATATTGTACAGTCAATATGTGGCGAATTTTTACATTATATTTCTATTGCACATCCATTGTACAAGCAAGGTACAACACGTTGCAACTTCTACTACTTTTAATCCTTATACCTTGGCAGACTGAGTAATTCGTACACAACTAAAACTAGTATTTAACTGTGCCTGTGCATGATATTTCAGCCAAATGACCTGAAATTTGGTACAAAGTTAGGCTGGAAAAATGTGCTTAGATATTTAGATATATTTTGGGCGCCTCCCGCCTAAGGTATGAAATCTCAATGATAGACCTACGGATTGTTTAGAAATTGTCGATGTTGTACATGCGAGTGTAACTTACAAATGGCGATTGTTGCACAGGGGTACCTATCAAACATTCCATGTTTTTGCAATGGGGAGATTTGGAACGGTCCAATTTACAGGGAGGGGGGATTTTCACAGAATCGATTTCCAAAAGAAGTGAAGCATTTGTAATGATGTACTGATGTTTTGTTTTGTAAACCTGATAATGATATAGTATACACATGTTTGTGTATTTGCATTTTGCTAAGATGGTGTTTGTTTACTTCACAATATACACATGTCTGTAATTCGGATGTAGTATTTGTAAGTCATCTAATGTTTTAAAATTTGCATCTGTGAATGTTCTAACGTTATCCGCATTTGCCGTGCCAGCTGGACCCATCGTTCCGCCAGGTCTACCCGGGAGCCTTGTCGGACCAACTGGAAGACCATCAACGGGCAGCGTTCACGCAGGTAAGAGTCTGATTTTTTTTTCTAACGGTGTACAGAGTTGTGACCTTAAAATGGTACACGTTTGCTTTTATTCATTACCTTCGTCAATAAGGTTATGGTTTGATAGCGTTTGCCTGTATGTGATATCTCAAAAAGCTTTGGAAGGATTGTCACGAAGAAGAAAATTAGATTAGGTTTTGGACCTTCCGGTTTCTTTATACTGCATGAGAACTTCCAGTTTTGGTATTTTGTGGATTTGATGGGTCATATTTTTTTAATATCAGATAGCTCTTGGTGACGTCAAGAGGTGGTGAAGGTTTAGGCCCCCTATGATCTTTTTTGGAACTGCAGGGACCCATTTTGTGCAATGTTGACGTAGCTTTTAACTCTTGTTCCTATAACCAGGATGACTGTGTAAAGCCTCACATGTTTCTGCACGTGTGTTCAATGCTTATGTAAAATATTTGTAGTGACTAAGATGCCGGATATGTTCCATGCCGGAAATCAGTACATCCATATGCAAATTCACGGGGCAGGAAATTCCTAAACAGAAACCTAGGGAAGACGCCACTACAGAGAGGCCCTAGGGAATAAATCACAACACAGAAAATGGGGACGGTACCCATGAAAAAAAGGTCCTAAGAAGCACATCCTAGCCAAAAACAGCCAGTGCAGTGGGAATTGCCCTTGGCATTGTTACATTGTGTGCTGTGATATAGTACGTATACAATGTTTTATATACACATTATATACATTCATATACACATTAATTACTTTATTCGTGTCGTTATGTTACAAATTGGAAATAAATGTATTACAAAGTTACGCATACAAAAATGTTTGGATAATTTCAGATCATGTCATTTTTGTATATTAAAATAAATTCTGGTATAGGAAACAACAGAGATCTCCATATATATATATAATAATTAATGTTTGGTATTTTGATTAGGAAATTATATTCATCCAACTTGGGCGTTTCAAATAAAAAAAGTTGTTCCTTCTGCAATGTCATTATATTTCAGTCCATACCAATGACCCACACATTCAATTTTATGTGCCTAAGACCTTCAAAATGTTAGTTTTAATGTTCTTTTGATCGCATATCGTACTTCTGTTATGTGTCTTATTCTTTGTAATGCCTTCAGGGATACGCAAGAGAGATATCAAAACTTCTTTAATCGTTGTTCTTACAGGTACATCCCTCGATGAGAACGCAAACAAGAAAAGACGTTGGCGTCTCTTCAAGAAGATGTTGAAGATCCACGGCGTCATTCTTGTTTTGTTCATATCAATATCATTGTCATATTTTGCAGGTCAGCTTCTTTATTGATTTACTAATTTATTTTCGATTACTGTATTTCATGGTGATACTGAAAATGCAGCAAACTTACATTCCTCTCTCTCTCTCTCTCTCTCTCTCTATTTTTAACGCAGTCAAAGTCAGCTCTCTTTCGTCGGAGGTGACAGAACTTCCTTCAGAGATAGCCAAACTTTCTCTGGAGATGGAAAACCGCTTCAAGACGATGGAGTTGCGACTAAAAGACCTGGAACGTGAGTTAACACAAATTATTTCTGCATTCATTTAAATTACAACAACACTATACACATAATACTATGCCTAATATATTATTTACAAGACTCAGTGTGAAATTACGCAATAAATACAATTTGAAACAATACAAACGGAAATAATTTTTGTTATTTTCATACAGACCAACCGCTGAGAATTGTTCTAGTATTCCTCACATTTCATGCTATGGATTATTACTAATACCAGTTTTCTTATTAGATCAATCAATGTCAAATTAACTGTAAAAGTGAATACAAAGTTTGAAGTTTGCGTTTGAAACTGGAGATTTTGTTTTCCTCAAGGAATGACTGGATATCCAGGAGAGAAGAAGCCTATGGGGCCTGCTGGTCCTGTTGGACCGCCCGGGCCGCCTGGGGAAAGGGGACCCATCGGGCCCGCTGGTCCTGGATCTGTTGGACCACCTGGGCCTCCTGGACCACCAGGGGAAAGGGGGGCCAGGGGGCCTGCTGGTCCTGGACTTATGCCACCATGGGAAGAGGAGGGAGGCATAGGTGACCCACCTATGCCACCATGGGAAGAGGTGCTCTTCGGGCCTGCTGGTCCTGGAACTTCCAAGGCTAATTAAAAGAGAGACACCATTGTCTTATTGATGTGTTATTTAGTACCGGCGACACCAGTCTGTTTGATGTGTCATTTAGTGCCAGGGACAGCAGCCTTGTTGGTGTGTCATTTAGTACCGGCGACATCAGTCCTGTTGTTATTTAGTACCAGGGACAGGAACACCTGTCTTGTTGATGTGTTATTTAGTACCACGGATAGGGACAGCAGTCTTGCTGATGTGTTATTTAGTACCAGGGACAGGAACACCTGTCTTGTTGATGTGTTATTTAGTACCACGGGCATGGGCATCTGTCTTGCTGATGTATTATTCAGTACCACGGATAGGGACAGCAGTCTTCTTGATGTGTTATTTAGTACCAGGGACACCAGTCTTGCTGATGTGTTATTTAGTACCAGGGACAGGGACACCAGTCTTGTTGATGTGTTATTTAGTACCGGGTACAACAGTCTTGGTGTGTTATTTAGAATCAGGGACAGCAGTCTTGTTGATGTGTTAGGTACCGGGGACAGCAGTCGTGTTGGTTTTTTTTTATTTAGTACCAGGGACAACAGTCTTGTTGGTGTGTCATTTAGTGCTAGTGTCAGGCACAGCAGTCTTGTTGATGTGTTATTTGGTACCAGTGACAGCACTTTTATTGTTGTGATATTTAGTACCAGAGACAGTGTGGAAAACAATCAACTAAGTACTGACGACAATAATATGAATTGCAACTTTACCTTTGCTCAGGGAAGTTTTGCTGACTCTTTCTATGAGCCAGGGACAGTAGTTTCGATAAAGAGTCGATACATAGTTATTTATATAACATTGTTATTGCAATACAATATTACGAACTGTAAGTACATGTATTAGATCAGAGATTGGTTGTTTTCACCTTGTCATAGATGTTTCTGTAAGTCCTTGAACATCTTAAGAATAAAGATTCTGTAGTTGATTATCATACAGAACAATTTATAGCATTATTCTAATCCCCTTCCCCGGAGGTAAAACTTACGAGTGAAAAACAAAGTGGCTTCGTACAAAATGACATGTACATGAGACAGATTATACGCCACAAAACATAACAGTTTGAACTGCAAACAACAGGCTTATCCAGATTCCAGGCTTTGCTGTGCTCGCAGTGTTCAAGTCCCCGTTACACAGGTCCTCCTGACAGCAGTACGTGCAGGTCTCGGCAGGTGGCGCCTGCAGACAGGTCTCCTCACACTCCTCCTCACAGGACCGTTTCCACACATGAGCGCCAACGGCTCCGGTACGGCGAGTCTGTGAAGGGCAACATTTTCATCTTGAAATTTGCATCTGCTTCTATAGAGATAAGTACCATGGCTTGTAAAATTCTCTTGATTAGGTCGGATTATATACATGTATATCAAATCATTGAAAATATGATTACAAGTTTGAACTACATTATCTGATAATTATTTTTCGTATTGCAGTACGAGTCGTATAACTATTATAGAAGTAATATTTCTTTTAAATATATACGGAGTGTTAACTTCAGCAAACATCATATTAGGCCGCATTGAGTTTGATATGAGACCCTCACGCATAGATCAACGCCAGTTTTGGAAAAAGGGAAAGTTAGGCCAGTTTGTCTTCTGAAACAGGACAACATGTTGAATTTACCTCCCGTTAGAACAATTATTCAAACATTTGAAGATTGCTACATCGAATATTTACATTATCTCAAAGCATATATTTCTCTGGGACAAGGCACTATCCAACCGACCAGGCATCCGCTTATGGTGACCCCTACAACGAATCGTGAAGGAAAATTAGTAGTATTTGACGGACATGTAACCACTTTCTCATTGGTCGCCTGAGCCGCTTATTGCCACGCTCTCATTGGTTGAACTGCTAATTGTGTTGGACAACAAGGATCGTGACCGATACCAGGGCTATGCCATAATGGGTTAGTGCAGGTGTATGCTAAGACATACCATACAGTGTCCTGAGCAGCCTGTGGTCTGTACTGACGAGTTGACGGTACGTTCACAGCCCGCAGCGGACTCTGCCACTTCACCGTCGCACACGTAACACTGGAAGTCCCCGGCCGTGCTCCCCGTAGCGGCGGTGCTGTTCGCGTCGCCTGACGAGGCTGGTTCCGTCGTGTTTTGGGCCAGTGTGACAGTGGCCAGCACAGCTAGAACGCAATAAAAGTTAGCAGATCTGAAAAACTGATTCCGTGAAACCTGTAATGTGTAAGGTTTTTGTCAAAACGCTAAAAAAGCTCATTGAATCGACTGTATTTAATGTAAGACTGATACTTTATATCATACAATACAATCATACATATACCTACGTTGTGACGCTTTTATTTGAAGATCTTTGAACGATATCTGAATAGTCCGCTTGATATGAAAGCTGTTGGGTAGCAAAATAATTTGATGTACTCTAAGCTAAAGCTATCAAGAGTCTTTTCTGGCTACCAATTTTTACAAAGAATTGAATATAACGCTGAGGACGGTTAGCCCGGAGTCCAGCCTTTTAGCTTTAGTAGTTCTACCCCCAAGATCCGCTACCCCGCTAACAAGCAGAATAACGCTAGCAAGGCTGGACTCCAGGCTAGCAAAGCTGACTTTCCGGACCGTTTCGCAGACACGCGAGCACCCACAGTAGTGTGTACTCTCTAGCAGGTGGGGCCTCTTCAGGAAAACGTAACGCTTTCTCAAGTGTTGCCTCTTACATAGTAAAGGCGGTAAATACGTGCATGTGTGCAAAGCTTTCCAGCTAGGGTTCAACGGCTTTGTAAGTATATTGTGGCCGCGAAAACATTGGCTCAGCAATCAGAGGGATTTTCAACACTCGTAGTGCAAAATGCTTTTTCGTGGTTACAATTTCAGTCAAACAAAACCTAAAAGTGCAACATTTTTTCTCATCTATACTGCTCAGAAAACAGAACTACCCACTGCAGATAAGCATGAAAATCAAAGTACATGAATTTACTAAACGGTGCATGCGATTTGAAACTTCCTGCGCATGCGCACTTGCCTCTTGTAGGAGCGTCCACACCGGGATACATTTGTATTTATATATGGAGTAATCTAATGCTATTGATGGCACGATGATATTACAGTAATAACGCATGACCAAGTGCCTTGTTCTCGCTCTATTTCTAACTCTAGCACTATCCACAGACTAAGAGAGGCGACAGTGCAGAAAAGGATCCGTTCAAAGTACGAAATGGTGTCAAAGCAAACAACCATCGATCAAGCAATTTCCAGACATGTATATCTATGTGTACTTGTGCTGCTTTGTTTGTCAAGAGGTAATTCATTCGTCTCAAACAATAACCAAACAGCAGTTCCACTGCACATTAGATTGTTCAAGGACTTTTGATATTCCACAGACCTTAGAGAAAGTGACTCCGGATGGAGTACTAAGCCACTCAACTCACGATGTTGAGTGTTTTTGGATTAGTCATCAACCGAACATTGACGTTCATACTTTAAACTCTCATGTACTTCATAAAGATTTAAATCAATACCAAAAACTACGCCACGGGAAGTCCTTGAATATTTGCGTCACAGTGTAACGATTATGGGGAGGTACGTATCGGCAAAAGGGTTTCTTAGTAGTCATTTTTGAGGCAGAAAAAAAGAGGACATCATTATAATGAAAGACTTAAAGTTATGACAAGCTTTGCATAAGATCTAACTCTCCTGAACGTTTAGTAGTCATTTCTGAAAAGGAAACAAACTTTCACAAAAGACTACGTCTACAATATCATTCGACTTGCAGAAGATCCATCCTTCCCGAGAGTTATGTTAAGGTTTTGGTTGAAATTTCAGGCAAGCTAAGAGAAAAGCAGAACTTGATTGTCCGTGGATTAATTTTTTGCAACGCTGTTCTTAAAGTAAGGAGACACTTATTTCATTAAGTGTGTTCTAATAAATTGTGGTCGCAAAATTACACCTGCAGTGATTGCAGGAATTTTACTAAACGCCAGCAATATACACTGAATGTATGTCTTGATACGTTTTTCCTGCTTTTAAAAGAACCTCCTATCTCTCCTAAGGCATTTCTATGGAATCATTGCATTCTAAACATTGTAGTGAAAAACGGGGCTTCAAATTGTTTCGGCCTACTATATTTCACAACCGCACTACAACATATATGTCCGTTTTCGATCAAACAAACAAAATCAGAGATTGAAGAATTTCAACATACCGACACTGAGGAATCCAACCAGCCAAGATGCAATCGCCATTTTCCCAAGATGAATCGACAGATTATACGATCATCAAACTCTTTAAAATAACGTATTCGTGGTTACGATGTAGGAAAGAGGTTGAAATTAGCTGACAACCTCTCAGATAATGACCTTCGCGTTCCGTAGATAACAGCATGCGGTATAGGCAAAAGACTTTTTGGGCAGATGTATACGTACAGGACTACTCGTCGCCAACCTACAACCACAACTGGTACCTCTTTCCACACAACACAACACAACACTTGAGCGACTTCTCTCCCTAATTAGCAGGACACTCGAGAAACGGCGGGTGGATTTTCCACATGAGTCACTCCTCGGCTGAATCGATCTCAATGTTTAATCGTCTGTGCAGCTAATTCCTACCGAGTACTTGTTTTTCTCTGTACGCCTAAGCTTTTCTTATCCAAATTTCTACCGCCTAGTTACCAAATTGTTGCTGATAGACAGAATGGTACTATAATATCACGGCTCACTGGGAAGAAAAGTTATACAAAATATGAAACCTGAGATTCCAAACACAACACGCGAAGGAAGGATTGATCAACTTTACAATGCCAGGAGCTTATCAATAAAAGTTTGTTGCTCACAAAGTTCGAGTCAAAGATGCTGTAGTCTGCGCGCCAAGGGAAGCAATAAAGCATGGTTATACCATGGTTATATAAATGCGCGGTTATTCCAGTACAGATTGAGATAGTCCAAATGTAAGTTTGACTATGGACAATGACATGTGCGCCCTGGGGCAACAGCACAAATCTAAATGCAGTCTTTTGTCAATGAGGTTTCTTTTATCATGTGATGATGGGGCATGTCACTTAAATGAGGATAGACATCAGCTTCACATATGGAAGACCGCCGCCCGACATATCGTCAAGCGCCCCCTGTACTCTCCGCGCGCGGTTACGATTTTGGTTCCCACGGTAACTACGTACTCTGTACTGTGTGTATACGTACCCGGAAGTGACTTTACAACAACACAGAGTGTGCCATAGGAGGCAGCCATGATGGTTTAAGTCAAGCGTGATTCAAGGTTCCCCTTAATCATCCAGTGTCCAAAATGTTGAGGGTCTGCGAGAAGCTTCGCGGGGTCGACGCCAAGGCCAAGGGACTCGGACTGGCGCAAACGGAGACAGACTACCTCCGCTCCCTGCTGGACGCCATGGCGGACATGGACAGGCCTGTGGAAGTGGAGGTGCTGAAAAGTCTGGGCGACGTGAACTTAGAGAAGGGACAGCTCAACAAGGACCCACTGGGGTTCCACAAGGCCATGCTGTTGTACAGGACAGCACTGCTCCGATGTAAGGGCGAATATACGGTGGACAGTCTAGAAAATCGTTACAGGTACGCAGAGAAACTACAAGTAGGAAGGGGAGGAACAATTCCTGACAATTATGAGCCCCGTACCAAAGACGAGAAAATGTGCTCCCCTGCCAAGGTAGCTGAGAAGTTTCTACGCCTGGATCGAAGGTTAGCTAAAATTAACTGTGACAAAGACTCTGTGTTGATTGAATACACCAAGTTAATGATAGAAGGTGTCATAAACGAGGACAATTTGTTAGAGACGGAAGCCATTAAGAGTCTCGGTGACGTGTACCTGAAAAGAGGAAGAGAAACTAGACACCCGCCATGTTTGACGAAGGCTACTGCTCTGTACAACACTGCACTGGCACGGTGTGATGATGATGAGGGGGTCCAGGGGAAAGTGACACTCATTCACCGCTTACTGTACACGGCAAGAATCAGACAAGCCATGAAACCAGCGAGAAATAAGGTAAAGTTAATATTTTTCACGTACATGTAGATATATGCCATTTTAACACTGCGATGGTAATTAATCGATGTCAATATAACGGTAATAACTAATATGAAACGGTCATGTGTGCCAAACATTTCTCAGGTGTTACATTACATTACATGTTTTCCTTTGCAGGAGGAAAATACGTACATAATATAGTTTTCTTGCTTGGTTTGAAACTCCTTCTTCAAACAATGTAGCACCCCTGTGGTGTTGGATTACAATTTGTAGCAAGTTGGAGGGGCGTGGTCAGCATAGATGTGTTTGAGTATCAAAGAATAATCAGAGCAGTAGTTCGGCTTGACATTTAGTATTTGCTTTGCAAATGCAAAAATTTCTAGTTTTTCCTTTTGGTGCCTTGGGTCATATTTGGTTAATGATAAAATTCTCTAACACAGTAAAATCCATGTTCATGTATATGTAATTTGTAATGGCTCATTAAGCTGTATAGAGAGCTGGTGGGTAACATTTATTAACATTCAATTGAAATTTGTGTAACTTCTTACCAACTAAGGTACATAATTGCAGCGTGCTAAAATCACATTCTTTATTCTGATTTGTATTTAATAAAGGGTCCAAATATCAGATGGAGACAAGGACAGCAAAAGGATCACCTGTCAAGGGATTTCCCAGTTATGTCATCAAACACTGACGTCATCGGTGATGCAAAGGGTCACAAGATCATGTAAGCACAGTTAGGGTAATTTTGTTTTAAAGTGTTGGCGGCCCAGCTCAGCATAATGATGATTCATGAATCATCATATTTATGTTTCTTTTCTTTACTTGTAAATATTAATTGTACATTGCCATGTCATATAGCCTACAAAAACTTACAGGGTCTAGAGATCTAATATTTCATTCTTAAAAGTACCTAAATAGACCAAGTAGACCAGCAACATTTTCATCTTAACAACACAGCAACAAACTACTAATATACATATTACACAGGCTTTGTTTGTTTTTATGAATAACCCATTTGATGGATGGATGGATGGATGGATGGATGGATGGATGGATGGATGGATGGATGGATGGATGGATGGATGGATGGATGGATGGATGGATGGATGGATGGATGGATGGATGGATGGATCCTGTAGTTGGACATATTGTTGGGAATTAAATGTCGAGTTCCTTTAGATGACTATATATATATATATATATATATATACAAACATCTTGTCATTTTCTAGGTCACCAAGTGAGTACATCTCAAGTCTGACACCCAAACACGCTCCAGATTACAGGTTTGTATACTAGTATTTTAGATTTTAAAAATTTGGTCTGAATATGACCATGAGAATAGTTAAACAATTCAGTCATCATTTTCTGTCATTTCCTGTATCTTGTAAAGGGACAGGGAAATACATTGTTTTGCTCACTCTTCTTCTTTATCGTTTCCATCTTCATCCTCTACCTCCAGTAGTTCCAAAAGGTTCCACACGTTTATCTTAAGGCCACCAGTTCTGTCAGTTAGATGTCCATTTGTTTGGAGAAGAAGAAGAGGAAGAAGAACCAGGCAAAACTGTATGTTTTCCTTCTGCGAAGGTAATCATAAATATTGAACATCTCACACTGCAGGTTATACGAGAAGCACCTGGCTGCAGGGGACCGCAAACTGACAGACGGGCACCTGGATTTAGCTGAACAGGAGTTTGCGGCTGCTCTGAAAGTCATTCACGGTATATTTCCTTAATTAAGTTAATAGAAGAAAGTTAATTGCAAATTCATTGCAAGGACGTAGGACATGATACTAAAATGATTATTATAGTAAACAGTGAAAATGACCATACTGCTAATGCTACTTTTGATATCATGTATAACAGTTGTTGTTGGGTGTGATTTCTTTTCTGTGTGCAGTGGAGTATGAAATGCCTGACGTTTTGTGAGACATATGAATTGGGAGGTGTTAATAGAGATAATAAATGCAGTTTCTTGTAGGTTGGGAAGGTGAATTAAAAGCTAGGAAGTCATTTTTGATGACTTTTAAGCAAGTTATCTCCTTCAGTGCTTAATAATCACTGCTCAAAAATCGGAATATCCGGACGTTTCCGGACCTGTACATGTCCCGTGAAACTTGGCGTGCCCGGGTGTGTCCGGGTGTGTGCAGGAAATGTCGGCCACGGCGTGTGCGGGTCTGTGATACCTCCGGACACGCCCGGACACCTGGTAATTAGTCGTGTGTACGGGAATATACGGGCCTGCACACGTCACACGTCGCAAGTATACATGTAGATCGTTTCGCAAATGCGTAAATTGAGAGGTGCACATGTGTTTTCAAAGCCGGTAAGAAGAACGGGCAAAATGCTGGTTAGAAAACAATATTATTTTCACTCCCGAAATCTACCTAAACATGAGTTCGTTCCATGAACCGAATTACTATCTAAAAGCGTTGTAGGTAACAGGCAACGCAACACAAAGACAATACATCTAGATTGGATGGTAGAGGAAATCAGCGTTAAGTTGGTGAATAGAATAAATGTTGTTTGGGGGCCGATGTCTGCTATAAACTCGCCCTCGCCAGAGTCTGGTTGACTGTTGGGCCACGCCAGGCTTATATAAACTCTGCTAAAGAATCTAGAAGGATATATAAAGCTTGGTATGAACAAGGATCTTATATGAACATGGAGCTTCAACTAGGTTATGATATAACGTCCTTGGTATGAATGGGGTCTAAGTGTATCCCTGTATATATTTGTAACTATAACCCTTGCTATGAACAATGAGTAGATTTCTTTGTGTGGTCCATCGTCTCCCCGCATATATTAACGCCTCATTATACCAGCACCATATTGAATCTACAGTGGGCAAAAACAACAACACAATTACTGATCAGAATTTTACCAAACTAGTCTATTGGGAACCTTCGACCTTGACATATTTCACCTTTGGAAACATGGTCGTTTTCTTTGGCAATGAGAGGGACCGCTCTGGTGTTTTTTTCAAATATCAGCCCACTTTAGTGTAAAAATAATTTTTTGGAAGAGGCAAAAGATGCACGGTTTACTTGTACATTGTTGTCAGATGTGTATTGTGGTGTCATGGTCAGAGACGAGACGGCGCCCATGTCTTATTTACCTTGTTTGTTTGTTTTTATATAAGAGAGGTTTAACTTCCTTGGTTATATTTAATTTTTATACTTTAAGAACATGAAGTTGAAAACATTACACGGGTAAACTGCAAATTATGTGTTGATGATAACATTCCAGACTATTTTATAGCCTATGTTTTTTATTAGTGTGCGTGCAACTTTTACATAATAGACAAGCGGGACATTTCACAACTCTTTGTATATCATTATTCCTGCGGTGACCTGTAAACCAGACCAGCCAATTGCATGCATTTCTCTTTGTTGTGGTTTGAAAAGAGGGCCAATCAACGCTCGGGTCATTATT